AAAAAAAAAAAAAAAAAAAAAAAAAAAAAAAAAAAAAAAAAAAAAAAAAACTCGGAGTGTCAAATTTGACACAATTCCAAAACTTCCCTTTATTGTGTATAACAGCCAGGAAAGAAAAATACCTGAATAACTTACCTGTACTAACAATGAAAAACATTGCTTTTGTAGTCTTAGAAAATGAAAAATAGCTGAAGGCCTACGTCGGAAATTTATAAATTACTATTTTCCGTAGCTAAATAGAGAATTAAAATTGCTAGATGTAGCTACAAAATAACTAAATTGGCAACAGGTCATTGCATGCAAATCAATTGTAGAGATTCTAGCGTTTGCCACTAACAAGTAAGTAAATTAGTCGATAGGCTCTCTAGCATTGTTTGAACATGCTGCAAAGGCGTAAATTTCAGGACTGTGTCAATAACGTAAACTCTCATCAAGAAATAGTTTTATAAATTGTATAAATTGAACTCTAGGGACGGTCGGGTGGCAAACCGCTGCTCTAGGAGACTCGGGATCGAATCCAGACGGGTCAAATAATTCCAGCAGTTTTCGTGGATGATCCGTCCCCTATATATCTAATTCTATCCCTCATTGTGGTCCTTGCCGAATGCATAGTGGGTTTGTTAAGAATGCTCTCTTAGTGACCACAGGGTGAAAAGAGCGTAAAAAACAATTTTATTACTCTAGGTTTTAATTCTTATTTCCAGACTTAATTTGCATTTTTAACTTACCTCATTTTATACATATTGTATTTTTATCTCCAAAAAAATTATAACATAATGTTAAGAAACCAATCATATCTTCTTACAGCATCAGAAAAATTGTTAAAAATTATTTGTGAAAGAAGTTGAAGTATTAGCAAAATGGAATGTTCATTCAAATACATGGCTTTTAACTGTTATTTTCGTTCGGATATTTTGGTATTTTGAATAATAGGTAATTCACTTTAGAATAATAATTTATATACTGTATATAAAAGTCAAAATAGGTATGTATGTACTGTACCTGTATGTTTGTTTGTTAAGCAAATGCTTCTATACTATTTAATGTATTCGCATCAAATTTGGAACGAATATTCTTCGAAACCCAGAAAAAATACTGTGAGGACCCACCCTCAAACGTCTCTAAAGAGCACTCCTTCTTAACTTTAGCCTGAGCAATTGTTTTTGTATTTTGCAGTTTCATTATTGTGAATACTCGAGTCGATAAATGTACATTTTAATTATTAAGACCATTGTTTTTTTATCGCCCTCTTCTAATCCTCTACCCCCTCGAAACCCGAGCAACATCAGCCACACGCAGCTAGTAGTAAATAAATTTACTGTTACAATAGAAAACCCCAATTATCCGAAATAATCTGTATGTCTCGGATAAAGCGGAAGACCGTAGCCATTTCAGAAATTAATGTATTCACTTACGGTTAATCGGGATTCTACTGTATTTCCAAAAAGTATATAGAATAATAGCCAATGAAATATATTCATTACAATGACTTTTATGTAAAAAAGTTGTGGACTTTTTTCTGTATGTATGGATGTTTGTTAGTGTGTTTTATTCACCCATTTTGAAGCTTAACTCCTGTGCCTTTAGTCGAATATCTCTGAAATTTTACAGGGGGGTTATCAGGGTCATTCATGCTATTAAATTTTGATAATTAAAAGTCGAAGGGTGGGGAGATAGAAATATGGCGATCGTATCTCGAGGGGGATTAGACTTAATGAAGATTTTACTCGTTTACAATGTTTTAAGCAGTTCATCTCTACCCTAACAATTAAGCTTTTTTGCCATTTTATAATAATTAATAATATAAAAAAATTCTTAAAATATAAAATCTCATGCACTCTTTTAACTTTTTAGCCGGGAAAGTTACGCAGCTCGTTGCTGGATTTTTTCCCATCATTTTACATCAATTGAGCTCACTGATTTACACATGAATTTCAAAAAGTATGAAACATTATAATACATTTTAAAATTACATATAAATAATATTTTTTAAAATTAACTAATTAATTAATTTTATATAATGAAACTTTTATACCTTATCTTTTGGATAGGTCATAATTTTACTGTATGTGCTGATAATTCGTATTTGTTGCTCATCCAATTCAATTTCATTAAAAGTGGGCATCTTTAATAATAATCTTTGCCTTTCATTTATATCTTTCAAGATGATATCACTTAATAATTCGTCGAAATCATCATTTTCAATTACAAAAAACTGAGCGGGTTCTAAAAATAAATATTATTTAATTGTTTTATACAAATGATTGAAGAGAAAATCACATTTAGTTTTACATAATTTAAGTAATATAACATAAATTACCTTTAGTAATAAATGTAAATTCTCTTTTGCTTTTTTGTAACAAGTCTAACTCAGCAAAATAGCATCCTTCATCGATTTCGGCTAATTCTATCTCATTTATTTGATCTGAAATGATTAAAAAATGATTATATTAATAATTCATCTAATAAAATTAATGTGTAGAAAAATATTTGTGAACGTGGACGTCTGCAGAAAATTTCCCAGGGGGGGAGCAAAGCTTGAAGACAAATAATTACATCAATATATCTTCGCCCACCAGTGGCCGAGTGGATAAAACTACTGAACATCGGTCGCGGATTCGCACCTGAATGTTTTACGGGAGTTATTAAGGGTTTTCTTTTAATGGAAACTCGACAGATCGCCTTGCCTTATACCAGCAAAACCATACCAAACATCAATATACTTTTAATGTATATTATGTTTGCTATAATGTATTATTTAATGCTTTTAGGATTTTTCACAAGTAGACTATAGAATACAGCATTGCAACAATACAAAAAGACAAAGAATCCCATGGTCGAGGTATAAGATTATGTATCTCATCACTTTTACGATTGTTATCTGTAATTTTTACTCAATCCTAGGGGAAAACACGTGCCTCGTTTGCCTACAGATGCTCATGTCTGTGTGAAATCTTAATTGTCCAATGAACTAATTATAGGGGAGATCGGGGCAACTTCGGCATGCGGGGCAAGTTTGTCAAGCGCTTTTTTTAAAAAACAAATTAAAAAAAAACTTTGATTATAAGTTAGGCTGTTGAGTTTTATTGGTGGCTTGTTGAGAGTAGTGTTTTTATTGTTCTCCAACAAGCGTAGTTGAATTATCAAGCAAATTTTCATTTTCGTTCAATTCCATATAATATTTTTTTTCCATTTATATTGAATTGGCAGGTTTTGTTATAATTCCATGATAACGAAAGTTACTTTTCCTGTTAGAAGGATGTAACTTCAACTTATTCACGTGGCCAGATCGTGGCTTGGCATTCTGTTCTCAGGGTTGTACTTAATGTTTCGAAATCATGAC